TTGCCAGACTCCGTCTGCAGCAGCAGCAGCAGCAGCAGCAGCAGCAGCAGCAGCAGCAGAGGGCTCACAAGGCTGCCCTTCGACCCCCGGGATTTGGCTGCAAGAAGTGTCGCCCAGCTGCTGCTGATAGACTTGCTGCGGGTAAGGCATGCAGCAGCAGCAGCAGCAGCAGCAGCAGCAGAAGCAGCAGAAGCAGCAGCAGCAGCAGTAGCAGCAGCAGCAGCAGCAGCAGCAACTCATAGAAGAGATATGACAGCAGCCGCTCACAAAAGCAGTGTGTCATTGCGTTCTTGTTCACTTCAGCAGCAGCAGCACCCACAACAGCAGCAGCAGCAACAGCAGCAGCAGCAGCAGCAGCAGCAACAGCAGCAACAGCAGCAGCAGCAGCAGCAGCGCGTGTTTGTGTTGTGTGTGTAGAAGGAGTTCGTTGGGGTCCCCCTCCCCCTCTTGGCGCTGCGGCGTTTAGTTTGCTGCCTGGAGGCTTCTTTTCTCTTCGCTTACTTATACAACCAACAGGTCTGCTGCTGCTGCTGCTGCTGCTGCTGCTGCTGCTGCTGCTGCGTGTATTGCTGTTGCTGCTGCTGCCGCTTGTGCTGGTCTTGCTGCTGCTTCGGCTTTAGATGCTGCTGCGCTTTCGGCTGCTGATCTTACACAACTACATCTTTTGTTGCTGCTGTTGTTGCTGCTGCTGCTGCTGCTGTTGCTGCTGCTGCTGCTGCTGCAGGTACCTTTGCGTTCGAGGCTTCAACGGTGCGGGTTTATGTCTGGCCTGAAGCAGCTGCCAGGCCTGCTGAAGCAGCACCGCGAAGCTGCTGCTGCTGCTGCTGCTCTGCTGCTGTCTGCTATTAAAAGAGCGCACGGGCAGCAGCAGCAGCAGCAGCAGCAACAGCAGCAACAGCAGCAGCAGCAGCAGCAGGGCACTGAGGACTGCAGCAAGACTGTTGATAGTACCTCAGTGATGAGCCCAGCGGGAGCAGAGGATACAGCAGCAGCAACACCAGTAGCAGCAGCAGCAACACCAGTAGCAGCAGCAGGAGGCGCAGCAGCAGCAGCAACAGGAGACAAAGCAGCAGCAGTAGCAAACACAGCAGCAGCAACAGCAGCAGACATCTTGGCTTTCGTGCTGCCTCGCTATCTCCGCTTCTGCTGGTGGCATGTCGTCCTCTTCCTGTGGAAGGAGCAGCAGGTGCAGCGGCTGGTAGAGCAGCAGCAGCAGCAGCAGCAGCAGCAGCAACAGCAGCAGCAGCAGCAGCCAGGGATCGCATCGAAAGAGGGGCTCTTCCGCGACCCAGCAAAGGCCCTCAAGCAGGCAGAGCTGGTGAGAGAGCCTCAACAAACTGCTGCTGCTGCTGCTGCTGCTGCTGCTGCTGCTGC